TTTGCTGTATTTTGGATCAAATAAATGCAGGCTTGGTGAGCAGAAGAGAATTCTTTAAAAAACATTAAAAATCTTACTGTTCAAAAACTTTTGACTGGTAGTGTACTTGCCAATTTTTGCTTTTCAGTATGTTTTTTTTTTTTTTCCATGATACAAAGTCCCCACAGGGGACTGTGGTGATGCCCTTTTTTAAGCTAGTGCATCTGAGAGGTCAAGATTTGTAATTTGTACTTTTAAAAAGAAAATGTTCAACAATTAAAAATAATATTATCAGAATTAAAGCTCATGAGTTATTGTGATTTTTTGGGGGGGGCTGGGATGGTAAAAATCATAGTTTACAGTGCAGTACCACAATTGGATTGTTTTTTTTTACAGGTAAAAAATGTTTAAACTAAATGAAAATAAACTCTACAGTACTGACACTGTAAATGAAAATACGGTAATAATACTGTAAATAAAATACAGTAAAGACATTATTGTACTGTAAATGCAATTACAGTACTAATACTGTAAACATGTTTACAGTAAATTACTGGCATCCAGCTGCCAGTAAGTTACTGTAAAATTTACAGCAACCTATTTACAGTGTAGTTCCTCATATTAGTTGCCATTAGCCGCCAAAACTATTAACCCTTCAGAAAGAAAAAAAGCTTAAACCATCAAGGTGGGTAGTTTATTATTCTTATGGTCTTGATTGCTCTAGTATATGGTAATTCAACTGATTTCTCAGGTGGACCAGCTGGCAAGAGCCCAAAATCTTTCTAAAACCAGTAAAACAGATCAGCCTTACCAGCTTGTCCCTGCTGTGATACCAGTTAAGTGTCTAGTTTAAGCTATTGCTTAGCAGAAAAATTATAAAATAGTCTTCATTTCTTTTTAGATATAAGAATAATGCTAAACGCAAGTTAAATGACCAATTACAATGGACTTTAAGTAAGATTAGATCACAATGATTCTCAGCTATATTCAAACAGTGGTTAATCTCAGTTAATCCTTCCCAGGGGGACAATCTACAACTCTCAACTATAAGACATTTTTGAGAACTGCAGTCTTGAAAAAAGATTTTCATGCCATTACATTATCTCCAAACTGGATTATGGCCTGGGCTAATGGGGCCACTGCCACTGGGTCTCTGACTGTCAGGGGCCTCCAGATGAGAGGCCCACAGGGGCCAGACAACTGGAAACAAGCCAGTGCAGATGTAAAATGGGCCTAGATAGATGTTCGTACTGTATGCCAGTCAGTGTTATTTTATTATTTATTTCCTACTATTATGCTATTTATTAAAGCAATAAGCCCCAAGAAGATGTGGTTTACAGTGAATTTATAACAGCTAAGGGGCGTTTTTAGGCACAACGCAAAGCGGCCTCTTAGCTGTAATCAATTCACTGTAAACCACAGCTTCACGGGGCTTATTGCTTTTATAATATAGTTATTCCATATACACAGTAAGGTTTGACAAAATAAAACGGAGCAAACAAAGTGTAATGATATTAATACAAACATTATTCTTCCGCCAAACAATGTAGTTCCTCAGAAACGGTTGTAGTTGCAACAAAGTGGTTGCCGAGCAACACACATATGTAAACAAAGGTGTATGTTTGTAGAGTAATTTACAACAGCTTCGAACTCAGCTCAACCAATCAGAATCAAGGACCGGAACTATCCGTTTTATAATAATATTTTGAATGAGCTTTTATTTTCAGTTTTCATTTTATTTTTAGTTTAGTAATTTTGTTCTGTGCTTTCCTTGTTATATATGTATTTATTTATTGCAAATATTGTTATTGCTAAACATCTCTTAAAACTCAGGGTAGCTTTTATGTGATTATTTTAATTTTTTATTTTAAGTTTTGATAGTTTGTTTCCTTTTTGTATTTTTTTTTTTGGCGTTTTTGCCTTTTATTGAAAGGATAGTAGTGAGACAGGAAGTGAAGTGGGAGAAAGAGGGGGGATGGGATCGGGAAAGGTCCACGAGCCGGGACTCGAAACATCTTTACCTAGTTTAGTCCTGTATTCAGGATATTCAGGTCCTGTTCAGTGTCTTTTGTTTCCCGTTGTTTCTCCATGGATCCCCCGCTGCTTTGTTCATCTCCCTAGCCCGTAAGGACCTGCCCCTTGTGGAGTATGTGGTTGAGTTCAGCCAGCTCGCCGTTCTAACGGCATTCAATGATGCTGCGCTGAACTCACTGTTCTGGATCAGGGCAACCTACCACCGCCCGTCGACCTCCCAGACACCACTGGACTGAGCTGGAGGGAAGCTAACATCCGGTGTCTGGAGAGCATCTATCCCCGATCCAGAGCACAGCCAGACCCAGAGCCCAGCACAACATCACCCCGCTGTGCGGAGCTCAAGCCCGAGCCCACCGATGACGGAGAGCCCGAGCCCGCCGCGACCGATGAGCCATCGCCGAATGGAGCGACAGTGCTGAGGATTTCCGTGAAACCGGAGCTGCAAGTAACGTCAGACCAGGTGCGAGAGCTGGCTACAACGCCTGCCATGAGGGAAAGAGCCGTGGACAGCAAGAGCGCGGAGAGGAGCTCCGCCCCCTGCACCATGGCTGAGGGTGAGCTTATTGTGGATCTGGGATAGTGGTATGCTGAGGGGGTCCCGAATTGGATTTATGGGCTGACCTGCCCCCTGTCCTTCCTCCTTTGTCAGAGCCCTCTGTCAGTTCCGTTCCCACACCTGGCCCGCCGGCCGATTCACTCCCAAGCCCTATGATGACAGCAGCAATATCCTTAACCTCAGCCCAAAAGAGGAGAATGAGGAGGAAAAGACTGTTGGCTCGAGCCCCTGACCAGAGTCGAGAGATGGCTCTAGCCGCTGACCAGAGTCAAGTGATGGCTCCAGCCCCTGACCAGAGCCCAGAGAGGGCTTCGGTTCCCGAGTCAAGCCCAGAGAGTGCCCCTGTTTCCACGTCCAGCCCAGAGAGGGCTGCAGTTCCCACGTATGGCCCAGGGAGGGCCACAGATCCCGAGTCTAGCACAAGGAGGGCTTCTGTTTCCATGTCCAGCCCAAGAAGGGCTCCTGTTTCCACGTCCAGCCCAGAGAGGGCTGCGGTTCCCATGTATTGCCCAGGGAGGGCCACAGATCCCAAGTCTAGCCCAAGGAGGGCTCCTGTTCCTGAATACGGCCCAGAGAGGGCTTCCGTTCCTAAGTTTGGCCCAGAGAAGGCTCCCGTTCCCGAGTCCAGCCCCTGGAGGCTCAGAAATACCCACCAACCCTCCCGGTCCTGCCTCCTCCACCGCTGTCGTCTGGCAGCCCCTCTGCTCACCCTCAGCCCACCATCTGTTCGGTGCGAGCACCGCGGGTCTCCCAGTCTCCATCTCCATCCGTCGCCTCGGGACTCCATTCCATCAGCTGCGCCTCGTCCCTCCAGCTCTGTCAGGCTCCTCCTTCACTTCGGCTCCTTCTCGGTCCTCTGTCGCTCCTTCTGGATCCCCGCCTCTGCCTCGGTCACCTGAGCCATCTGCTCCGCCTTGGTCCTCCAGATCCTCCCCGTCGCCCTGGCTCATCGGCTCTCCGTCTCCGCCTCAGGCTCCTCTACCACCTGCTCCTCCGCCGTCGGTCGGCCCCCTGGAGTCGTCAGCCCTTCCTCCACCATGGCTCCTCCCTCTGTCAGCTCCACCGTGGGTCGCCTTCATGGCTGTGGCCTGGGTCCCACCTGGCTCTGCCTGTTCCAAGCCCCTCCTGTCTCCATCTGGTCCGCTCTGGCTCCTCCTGTCTCTTCCCTGGCTCCTCCCCCTGTCGGCTCCACCATGGACTCTGTCTGCCGGCCCCCTCCCGGGTGCCCATCCTCCTCCCGAGCCTCCTCCCAAGTTTCCACCCGTCCCTCCCTCTGTTATTTCTATGGCGCGAGGACGCGCCTTCCAGGAGGGGGGCGATATGTCACGCCCATGGACTGTCTGTGTCTGTTTTTCTCCCACGTGCTCCCCGTGACCCATTTTCTCCCATGTCTGATTGTCTCATTTGGTTCAGATGTGTTTCGTTAATTGCCTAGTTTAGTCCTGAATTTAAAGTGTTGTCTTGTGCCTGCCTTGTGTTTCCCTGCGTTTGGATTATTAAAGACTGTTGTTTATGATTATCCCTCGTCTCCGC